TCCCTTTCCTCTTCCAGGTACACTTTCGAATTACCTTATCAAGCTCCCTGAAAATCTAGTTGGAATTGTGGTTGGAAGTGCCTTCATTCCATTAATGATTTTGAATAGAATTGGCTCCTTTAATGAGGCATGGTATCTGTGACTATTGTAAGCCCTTCCATTTAGCTCATCTATAATGTCTCAATGACATTTTATAATTTTCTCCAAAAAAGGTTTTGTATGTTTCTTTGTTAGACATGTTCCTAGGTTCCTTGGGTTTTTTTTGTTTTTGTTTTTGTAGTTACTATTGTCAGTGGTAGCTTTTTAACTTGCATTTTCTGTTTGTTGCTGATGTGTGATTGGGCCTTGGGGCAGGGAACACCCCTCTCCCAGTGCTTTTTCTCATGCAGTGAGCCCTCGGTTATGTGCCAGCCCACTCTCTCTGCCCCGTTAGGCATCCCACCAGGGTTCCCACCAGGGACATAGCTTATCGGAGAGTTTGGGAGCAAGGCTTGGACAGACCCAGTCCTGCCCACCCTTCTTCCCTTGGGTATCTGGCCACCCCCAGGGGACAGGTGGTCTCTGCTGCTCTGCTGGGGACAGCCTCCCTAACCATGTCCAGCAGGTGACTTCCTGATCCTAGGGTCAGTACTAAGAACGCCTCTTGCCCACAGGTAAAACCTGCATCCTCAATTATCAGTAATAAAAATAGTTTACTCTCACCTGCCATTTTCTTTTGTTTTATGTCTCTGTTTAAGATCCATGATCGGGAAGAAAAATGATAATTGATAGTCTCCCTTAAAAGCCCAGCGTAATAGTATACAAAAATGCAGTTGTCTTTCATTTATTGGTATTTCTGTCTAGGAACCATGCTAAAATTCTCACTAATGTTAATAACTTTTCTAGTAATTGATGATTCTCAAGTTTTCTGAAAAGATAATCATATCATCTATGAGTAATAAGAATTTTTTGTTTCTTTTCAAATCTTTATGGTTTATTTTTCTCTTGTTTTCTGGCTGAGAACTCCCAGAAAATCCTTAAATAAAAGTGATAATAACAGGTATCCTATTGTTTCATGATTTTAAACAGAAAGCTTTTTAACTTTTCACGTTGAGTATATTTGTTAAAGGTTTTGTTTATCAGTACCCTTTTTCAGGTTAAAGAAGTTTCCTATATTTCTGGGTGACTAGATATTTCTAACAGGAATAGCTTTTGAATTTTTATGGAATGCTGTTTGGGTATCTATTGAGATGATTATGTGATTTTTCTCCTTTAACCTAAGAATATGGTAAATAATGTTATGTTCTAATGTTGAACCAACCTTGCAATCTTGGAATAAACCTAACTTAGTCATGACCCTTTATATACATTGCTGGGTTTAGTACTAATTATTTTATTTAGGATTTTTGAATCTTTGTTCATGAGACAAATGGCCTGTGCTTTTTGTTTCTTCAGACTGTCTTTGTCTGGTTTGGATAGTAAAGGAATAAGCTGTGTCGTGTTCCCTCTGTTTTTATTTGCTCAGAGAGTTTGTATAGAATTGGAATGATCTATTCCTTGAATGTTTAGTAGAAAACACTAGTGAGGCCATCTGGGCCTCAAGTTTTCCTTGTGGGGGATATTTCTGTCTATGGATTTAAGTTCTTTAGTAGTTATAGGACTATTCAGGGTTTCCATTCCTTCTTTAGTCAGTTTTGGCAAGTTAAAGTTTTTCTAAGGAATTTCTCCATTTCCCCATAGTTTTCATATTATTTATTTGGAATAACATTCATAATATTCTCTTTATCTTTTTAATTTTTGCTCATCTGTAATTGTGTTCTTATTCATCATGTTAGTTATTGATACCTTTTTTCCTCCAAATAATCTTGCTAGAAATATACCGGTTTAATAGTCTCTTCAAAGAACCAGCTTTGGCTGTCTGTATTGTATCTTTGTTTTCTCTTTTATAATTTACACTCTATGATTTCTTTTCTTCAGCTTTTTAAAGAGTTTTATTGTTGATGTTTTTTCTTAATGCTAACAACTTGCATTACTGCTTGACGCACTAGTTTTCAACCTGTCATCTCTTTTTTAATATAAACATACAAGGCTATGAAATTTTCTCTAAGTACCATTGTAGATAGATGGAGCCCACACATTTTGATAAACAATATTTTTGTTATCATTGGGTTCCAAATATCTTCTCATTTTCATTGCAATTTGTCCATAAAGCCTTGGATTATTAAGAAAGCAAATACATATTTTTTTAAATTTTAGTACATATGGGGAGTTTGGAGAAATCTGTTATTGAGATCTAACTTAATAGAGTTATAGAAAATAGGTGTGTATAACATTAATCTTTTCAATTTTACTGAAGCTTATTTTGTGGCCTAGAAACGTTCATTTTTCCTTAATGTTCTGCATGGCTTGGAAAATTTAGGTTTTCCTTGCCTTTAGATTCTACTTATGTCTATTGGATCAGGTTTGTTAATAATGTTGTTCAAATTTCCAATTAGCTTTAGTCAGCAAGACTTATCAATTACAGGAAGGTATGTCAAAATTCCCCCATGAAGAAGGTGGATTTGTTCATTTCTCCTGGTGTTCAGTCAGTTTCACTTTATTATTTTAAAGCTATGTTATTAGATTAAAATTTTAGAATTATTTTATCTTCCTGGTCAGTTTACCATTGCACAGTAGTCCTTTTTTGTTTCTACAAATATTTTTCTTTTTAAAGTCTATTTTATCTGATACGGTATAACTACATCTTTTTAAAAAATGTTTATTCTGGATTAGTTTATCTTTTATTCTTTTACACTGCTTTTGCATCCTTCTGTTCTAGGTGTGTCTCTCGTAAACGACATATAATTTGGTTCCTTGTGTGTTTTTAGTCTGATCACTTTAAATGTCCAGAACGGCAGCCACATGTGGCTATTGAGCCCTTGAAAAGTGCTGTAAAGATGAAATATGTGTATATTAAAATGAACATTTTATATATATTGGGTTAAATAAAATATATTGTTAAAATTAATTTCACCTGTTTCTTTTAACTTTTTAATTTAACTACTGGAAAACCTAAAATTAGCTGTGTGGCCCACGTTGATCTCTAACGGACAGTGCTGGTCTAGACCACTTGCACTGATGGTGGTCACTAGAGTGCTGGGCCTCTTAGCCACCATCTTACACTGTGCTCGTGGGCCTCAGTCCTGCCTTGTCCGTATTTTTTTCCCCTGCCCCTCCTTTGGGAATTACTTTGATTTTTTTTTTTCTCCTCAAACTACTATTATTTTTAATTAATTTAGAAGTCATATGTTTTCTGTTTCTACTCTTTTAGAGTTTACCTCAAGAATATTTTTCTTCTTAAATACATCCTTTAGAAGTTATTTTTTGTGAGTTTGTTGGTAATGAACTCTCAGTTTGTATCTGTTTGTATATGAGTTTATATATGTCTGAAAATATCTTTATTCCTATATTTGAAGGATATAATCCTAGTTTATTATTTTATCTTAACCCATGGAAGTAATTTGCTGCTGTTGAGAAGTCAGTTTTGGAATATTCTCAGCCATTATTTCTTTGCATAGTCCTCCTTACTCATTTCTCTAGTCTGTCCGCCTGGGATTTCTACCCACATGTGTGGGAACTTCTCATTCTTTCCTCCATGCCTCTCAACTTCCCTTTCGTATTTCTCTCTCTCTCTTTTTCTAGTCTCTCAGCGCTGTTCCATGGATTATTTCCCCAGATCTATCTTCCAAGTCATTAATTTTCTTTTCAGCAATGTTTAGTCTGTTGTTAAGCCACCCATTAAGGTTTTCATTTCTTTTGTCATTTCTAGAATGCCCATTTAATTCTTTTTCAGATATTCCTTTTTATTACTATTTTTATTTATTTATTATTATTATTTTTTTTAGCTGAGCCATCCTGCTACCTGTTGGCAGCTCAGCGGCTGCTCAGCTCGGGCTGGACTCGAACCACTGTTGCTCAGAGCTCAAATTCTTGAGCGAGCTCTTAACCAACTGAGCCATTCAGCCGGCCTCAGATATTCCTTTTTAAAAATAATGTGCTGTTCTTGCCTTAGAGATTCTGTTTTTTCCTTTATTTCTTTGAATATTTTAGACATACTTATGTCACTGTATGTTTCAGCTTATTTTTTCTGTAGTTTTTGGGAGTGAGTTTTGCCGTAACTGTCATGCTGTTTGGATCCTCTTCTGGTCTGTAAGTTTAGTTTTTTTAGTAGGGCCCCTTGTGGCCTCGTTGTGGGCCAGGTTTGCATTTGCCTGTGCTGGGCCTCCTGGGTTGCTGTGGATTTCAGTCAATCTTTCTGTGAATTTCTCAGGTTAGGGTCTCTGCACCATGTGGGTAGTAAGAATTTAGTGTGGGCATGAGTGTCTGATTTCTCATGGGGTGCTTTCCCGCCCATGGCCCTGGACAGGTGGGTAGCTTCCTTATAGCCCCCTCGGATGGAGTTTTCCTGTCCCCATCTCACAGCTGGGACAGAGCCCTGTGGCTCCTGGCTTCACGCAGGCAGCTCAGCCCTGCCCTCGCCTCACTCGGACAGCAAAGCCCAGCCCCTAAGGCCTGCATCTGGTTCCAACAACTCCTTGGGCCACTTGGCTCCCACTTGAGCTCTTGATTTGACTTTGTTTTCTCTTTGATTCTCATATCTGGAGTCTTTCTTGCAGTCAAATATGTGTGTGGAGGTAAGGTTTTGGGGGAGGTTTGGGGGTAGAGTTTATCTAGCATTTCTGTTTAAAGTGAGAGCAGGACCTCTCCAGGGCAGCGTAGTTTTCCCCAGGGGCCAGAGGCCTAACTCCTAGAATGGGTTCATGTGTTCCTCACCCCTTCCCACCCTCCCCATGTGCTCAATATCCTGTGACCTCATGCTTTACCCAGAAGACCCTGTAGTCCCTGTTTGCTCTCGCTTTCCCTTCCCACTAGGCTCTGCTGCTCTTGGGCCTTCGTTAGGTCCATTTCCTTGGCTGGATGTGTGTCCACCCCAGGGCTGAGGGGTCCTGATGCTGTACGCTCACACGTTCTCCTTTTCTTAGGCTCGGGGCCCCCAGTTCCTGCCCCTGACCTCTTAATGCAGATCAAGCAGGAGGGCGAGCTCCACCTCCAGGAGCAGCAGGCTCTGGGGGTCGAGGCATGGGCCGCCGGACAGCCAGATATCGGGGAGGAGCCATGGGGCCTGAGCCAGCTGGATTCAGGAGCAGGAGACGTCTCGACCGATGCTGCCCCTGGTGAGTGGCTGAGACGGGTAGCAGATACCAGGAACGGGAACTAGAGCAGGGCCTGGGGGAAGGAAGGAGTTCATGGAAGCTCGCATTGTGGGAGCTGTGAGCTCTCAAACAGCTGGCCTGGCTAGCTTAGAAGTTTTCCCACCTTAAGGCAGGGGCTGTACCAAGTGACATTTTGTGGGCCCCTCTGGGTGCTATGAGGCTCTTGTCCTGGTATTTCTCTGCCTCACTTGCATCATTTGCCCTCCTGTTCTTGCCCCCAGCATTGGGCATTTAAGTCACCAGTTGCCTCATATTAACATTTTCGCTGCGACGTTTGTCTATAGTCAAATGCTATTTTCATGCTGCTGACTGCAGCGTTCGACTTTACCCCACAAACTCAGTGCTCCAGAAAGAAAGTTTAGGAAAGCAGTGTACATTTTTCCATATTTTTGTGTTTTTCGAGAATGAATAACAACAGGAAATTTTTATACATTAATCATTTATTTTAATAAAATGTAGCCCCCTTAACTATATTTACTTAAAAATATAAATACTGTAATTATTTTCTGTGGCTTTTTGACACATTTTGGAGAACAAACTTGAAATCAATTAGCGCATTTAAAGGTGAAGGAGGGACTGTGAAATGGTCAGTGACGTCTGAGCTTCCTGCTGCCTCAGAGAAGAGGGCCAAGGAAGCTGGGATCAGGAGAGGCGGGGTCGCCACCTGCTGCAGAATGCCCCAGGGGGTCTCGGGGGCTGCCTGCCCTTCCTGTCCTATGGGGTCACCCCTAACCCACCGGCTCTGATCTCTCTTCTTTTCAGGCGTCCACTCCAACTTTTCAACCACTATCGCACCGACTTCCTGGCAGGCGGATCTGCCTCCGCATCACCCCTCCTCTGCCTGCTCGGACGGGACCCTGAAGCTCAACACGGCAGCCTCCACGGAAGGTACTGGTGGCGGAGAGGGGGCGGGAAAGGCTGCCTCAGCCCAAGCCCTCGTTCTTGTTGGTGAACTTCCCTGACCTTTCGGTCAACGGGCATCTAGGTCTCTGTGGCGTTAGGACTCTGTACAGCCTGTCTTCTGTGGCCCTCCAGACTCATACTGGAGCAGGCTTCCTTGGGCACATCCATGTTTCCAGACCATTCTTTTCTCATGGTAACCAGTCCATCCTGATAGGTTGATCCCTTGAGAGGATTACCTCCTGCCCCGACTAGGAACGTGGCTCCTCTGTGGTGTGGAAAAAACAAAACCCAACCAGAACCACTTCTTAGATATCAGCTGAATCTGAAGACAGGTGCACGAAGGCCAGAATGGGGAAGAACAACTTTCAAATTTATGTATTACTTTCCTGTTTTGAAGGCCGGAGTAACATAATTTCTGTCATATTTTAGTTCCCTGACATGTGCTGTAAAGCCTAGATCCCTGATATAAACCTTCAGGATATGAAATTCAAGTACATTTACATCAAATCAAGTACATTTTTATTATTTCACGAATGTTTTTATCATTAGCTGCATTCATTGGATGCTTGCTGCCTGCCAGAGAGTATGCAAAGTGCCTTCAGATGTGAGCTACTGTAACCCTCCCCCAGCCCTGTGACTAGGCCCTTCACAGGTGCACTGCTGGCTAAGAAATAGCCTGCAGCCCACAGCTGGTCAGTGGGGTGGCACGGTGCCACCTCAGGTCTGCCCAGGCCCCAGCTCCGGGCTTCTGCCCCAGGCTGCATGGCCGTTCCTGCCTCACATTAGCCTTAACAGCCAAAGTGGAAATGGAACCCGGTGGGCAGTCGCCACAGTTGCTTTACTTGTGAAGGTTCTAGAACAGGGATGTCCTCAGGATTTGAGGCAGCCACATGACCACCTGGGAGACGCTCTGCTGAACTGGGTCCTGAGGCTCGTGGGGTTCAGCGTGGTGGTAGTGGGGCGGAGACGCTGCTGAATCTCCAGATGGAAATGATCAGATCTTCGCTTTCGAAGCGGGAGAGGGGACAGAATGATTCCTGGTCTTTCTGTCTTTCTCAGCAGATGTAAAAATTGTGATAAAGACGGAAGTCCAGGAAGAGGAGGTGGTGGCCACACCAGTGCACCCTACTGACCTAGAGGCCCACGGCGGCCTGTTTGGACCAGGCCAGGCCACAAGGTTTTTCCCCAGCCCCGTCCAGGAGGGGGCGTGGGAGAGCCAGGGCGGCTCCTTCCCCAGCCAGGACCCTGTGCTGGGGCTGAGAGAGCCCGCCCGGCCTGAGCGGGACATGGGCGAGCCCAGCCCTGCTGTGGCCCAGGACGAAACCCCTCCAGGGGACTGGCTCTTTGGGGGGGTCCGGTGGGGCTGGAATTTCAGGTGTAAACCACCTGTGGGCCTCAACCCGAGGACTGGGCCCGAGGGGCTGCCCTACTCCTCTCCCGACAACGGAGAGGCTATGCTGGACCCGGGCCAGGCCCCGAGACCCTTCAGTGACCCCTGTAAATACCCTGGCCGGACCAAAGGCTTCGGCCACAAGCCAGGCCTGAAGAAGCACCCCGCAGCGCCCCCAGGGGGGCGGCCCTTCACCTGCGCCACGTGCGGAAAGAGCTTCCAGCTGCAGGTGAGCCTGAGCGCCCACCAGCGCAGCTGTGGGCTGCCTGACGGGGCGCCGGGGGCCTCTGGGGCCGCGCGAGACGGCAGCGCCCTGCGGTGTGGGGAGTGCGGGCGCTGCTTCACGCGGCCGGCCCACCTCATCCGGCACCGCATGCTGCACACGGGCGAGCGGCCCTTCCCCTGCACCGAGTGCGAGAAGCGCTTCACCGAGCGCTCCAAGCTCATCGACCACTACCGAACCCACACGGGCGTGCGGCCCTTCACCTGCACGGTCTGCGGCAAGAGTTTCATCCGCAAGGACCACCTCCGCAAGCACCAGCGCAACCATACGGCGGGGGCCAAGGGCCCGGCTCGGGGCCAGCCGCTGCCGCCCCTCCCGACCGTACCCCCAGACCCCTTCAAGAGTCCTGCCACTAAAGGACCTGTGGCCGCCACAGACCTTGTGACCGACTGGACTTGTGGCCTGAGTGTTCTGGGACCCGCCGATGGTGGGGACCTGTGAGCACCCCCAGGATGGCAGGGGCTGCCTCAGCCCGTTGACCCCTGCGGGCTTCAAGTGTAAAAAGTCCCGTTTCAGACACCAGGGTGGTGGCAAACTCCTAGAGGCAGGAGTGGAGACTGGGAGCGCCAAATTCCAAGTTGCTGAACTGATCACTGGAAGAAGAAAAACTATCCAACCATGCAGCTTCCACCTCTAAACCAAGTAGAATTCTCTGATTGTGAAACTGAGCACCATAGAATTATAAGTAATTTAATTACGAAACTTTTTTTTAATTCTTTAAGAAGCTGGAAAATAGTAGTAGCACCAGTTTAAACTTTCTTGCGTACTTTTGGTTTCTGGAGCTTGTGTTGATGTGGGCTTGTGTCCTTACCAAGCCTGACAGTCTGTGCTGGAAGGTTGCTTGGCTGGGGACACGGTGAGGAGGGACCTGGACCTCCCCTGGCCCCACTGACTCCTAGGCATGGGATGGTCTTAGCACAGAGTTCTGGGGAAGTTGAGACCCCCCTCCTGGCTTTGCCCAAGGCCAAGCTGGCCTGGGCCTGGGGCCCCAAGCCCCCTGAGCAGTGAGGCCAGCTGGGCCCTGGAACCAGCGTCGTCCCAGCAGGGAGGAGGACACTCCAGGAGCAGCCAGGGCCGTACCTCGCTTACTCTCCATCTGAAAAGGGCCCCCCAGCAGTACTGGCCCTACTTGTGTTGCCCTATTACAGGCTGCCTGCTCCTCCTACTGGAAAGGGAGCGTGGTGATGTCACCCTCTTCTGTGACTCCCGGGCCTCATAAAGGTGGGTTGTCTGAAAACAGCGTCAGGGCTGCAGAGGTGACGAGGTGGGGGCAGTGGGCACCGTCACAATCTAGTTACCAGCAGAGCCAGGAACAAAGCCTGGCCTGCCGACCCCACTTGGGGCTGCTTTCCACTCCAGTGAGATGCTTCTGTTTCCTCTCTGTGTAGTGTTTTTTCATTGTCAAAAATGCTTTCACATCGCATCTCATTTGATTATTACTGTGACCTTGTGAAGCACACAGGGCAAGTGTTCTTTCTTCTTAGAGATGAGGAAATAAATTACTCAAAGGGGACACATCAGCCTCGCACCACGGGTGCTGGTGGGTGCCAGCAGTTAGGAAAAGCCTCAGGTTACATACAGCTCGTCCTCCCAGAACCTCAGTTTTGGGGAGGAAGGCGTTTCGTTTTTGCCGTCTTAGAAGGTCTGTCCCACATCTGCATGAGCAAAATCGTCAGACCTCTGACTTTAGCCGAGCCCTAGTCTCCCTGGTGTGTGTGCCCTCGGCGAGGTCTGAGGCTGGGTGCGTACGGATGGTGCCTGCTCCTTCTCCGTCTGACATCCTAAAGGTGGACTCAGACATGGGCCCAGGTTTCTTGAGTCCGCCGCAGTGCTGTCCCTGCCACACAGGTATCCATTCCCGTTTTGTTGAAGCCGCCACTGGGCCCCTTACCCGAGTGGGTGACTTGTTTCCCCTTGGAGAAGAGACCAGGGCTGTTGTTCATTCAGCTCCCCCATGCGTACTTTTATTAGGCAATAGACTAGTTAAGAAAATTGTTTCTATGTACTGTATATTTTGTACCTGTTTACACTTCTAATTGATATAACTGATATTTTGAAAAACAAATGAAGAGGAAACATCCTGTTAAAATAAAACCTAACCAGCACCAAGGTGATTTGATGGGTTCCGTTCTTAGACCTGCGTCTCTGGTGTGGATGCCTCTAAACAGCCCCCCGAAAGGAGCTGTGTGGTCAGCTCCCGGAGCCCTTCTCCAGCACTTGGTTGCAGTGGACCCAGGGAGGCGACTGTCCCTGAGAACTAGGAATGGAAGATTCCAGAGAAGTTTGACTCGGTGGCGATAAACTGACATTTGGAGGAAAATCAAAATATATCCTGTCACTTGGCTTCAGAAGACAATCACAGTTTATGTAACTTAGTCTTAGGTAACTTGATTGATGTACATGAAGATAGGAAGTCTGGGGGGAGGAGTGCAGGACATCAAAGGAAGCGGGCGCTGCATGTTTCTCCTGGCATCTTTTCCTGGCTAGGCCGAGGCGCAGAAAGGATGGATGGTAACCTGTAGCTGTGTCCTGGGACTTGGAGTGGAACCCGCCTGAGGTCATTAAAGCCAGGCTGACACCATATTCCCCCCAACCAGAGTTAACAATAAACATTTTATCTCACGTTTTCAGTCACCACCACCACCACCCCGCCCCAGCCCCCACGCACTCTCACTCCCTCTAGCCCACGTGCCCTGCATACAGGAATCATCTCATGCCGGAACCCTCGATCATTTGCTGGTGCACTAAATGGAATACTGCTAAGCTTCTGGCTCAGCTGCCAGGACAGGACATGGGAGGAGAGGGTTTAGGTAGGGTACGGGGAGAGTGTTGGGTTCAGACATCCAGAAAGGGGTGCCCAGTCAGTAGTTAGACCAGACAAGCATTGAGGACCCACCACTGCTCACAAACTTCTGGGAACCCTTGCTCTGCCACTGCTCGGAAGTGTCCTACTTAGGCCAAAGCACAGTGGTCCTTTCTCGTCTTGGTTTCCTATTGCTCCTGTGACAAAGAACCACAAACTTTGTGGCTTAAGCCAGCACAGATTTGTCTTACAGTAAGGAGCTACAATGAAGGTGTCAGCAGGGCTGGTTCCTTCGGGAGACCTGCATCTCACCCTCTGGATGAACTGAAGTGCCTGCCCTTCCCTGAGCGCCGTGCTGTTCCGTGTGTCTGCATATGTTCCGGCTGCATACAACGTCCCCTCACCTCTGGTTCACCTGGTACACTCCTTTGCCCTGTGGCTCAGTGTCACGCCGCCGTCCCCAGTCTGATGCCTTCCCTGTTTCTCCATGGACCCTTGCTCAGCTCATTAGACTCTCCCCTACTTTGTATATAGCATGTTCCTGGAAATGCATATAAAGGTTTATGTATAAACATGAGGCACTAGACTTCCAGATCACAAGGAAGGCTTTAATTCCCTGACAGCTATAAAATGAAGCTCCTGGTTTGGTGTCATTGTCAAACTCCTTTAAACCCTGAGTGTTGTACAATGTATACATGATTATTTAAAAATATTAAAAGCACAATTTAGACATTAAATAGGTACAGTTAAATAATTTCTGTCTTCAAAAAATTTTGGCCAAAAAGTTAAAAAAAAAATGCACATATCGTGGATTGTATACCCTGGACACGCTCCTGATCTAAATATCTAGTGGACATTTCCAAAGGGAATATACTAAACATAATTTTAAATATACAGCTAAGATAGAATCCAGGGGAATCCTAGTGTGCCAGAAATGAAGATAACACTGAACCCCCACATTGTGAGCATGTGAGGAGCTGCTCTACCTGCAGCGGGGGGTAAGGAGAAAGGCACAGAGGCCTGGGCCCATCAAGGTAAGTTGGAACTGACACCTCCAGATAAAATCCCTTGAAGGCCTTGTCTTCAGAAAATCCATGGTTCAGAAAAAAATGCATCCCAACACCCAAAGACGTGTTAGTCGGATCCTTGAGAAGCAGATGCTGAGACAACAGTTTGGAGGGCAAGAGTTTTATTGGGGACTAACGCAATGAAACATAAAAGGATGAGGAAGCCGGGTTTTGCAGGCTTGTCTCAGACCAGGATGCAGATCCAACATCCGTGAAAGGCAAGGAGAGAAAGCAGAACATGATGCAGCAATGATCAAGTTTCAGCCAACTGAACAAAAGGTTCTAGAGCAAATACTGCTAGTTAGTCCTGTGTTCCGGCAGACATGACCAGGCCCGAGGACCCCACCCGCTCATTCAATGGCTGGAGCTGCCCAAGAAAAGTGTGGCCTTTAGCTTAAAAACTGAGACATTTCCTGAAGGTGGTAAGAACTGAAACTGCCAGTTGACTGCACTCCTTGAAGTTGAATGGCAAGTTCCTGAATTGAGATCTGAGTGGCATAACTCCACGGCTGCTACAGAGGACAAAGAGCTTATCTGTCTCAGGCTGGGTTCTGGGTGATGGTAGTGGACAGGCAATATCTTTTTTGAGAATCCAAAAGCACAGCTATTACCCCGTGGAGGTTGGGATTCAAATTTACATTACCCACAGAGCTGATAAATTGACATAAAAATTGGACTTAGGCCAATTGCTGCACTTGAGGTTTCTGGCTAAAGAGAACACAGAAACAGGAGGAACTGTCCCACAAACCCGGCTCAGTATAAGCTCACAATCACAAACTGCTAAACCCACAAGGAAATGGTCCACCATTAGTGAGAGCACACATAACAGCAGGATCAAAAATCCAAGAACTTGAATTCAAGTAAAGATCATCCAAAATAGAACATAACGTGAATAGTTTTATACGGTATAAAACTAACAGAGCAGAAAGTGGAAGGAAAAGTGTGGTAAGTAGAAATCATTACACCTTAAGAAAAATCAAGATACTATGAAAAAGGAGTATTTGGGAAAACAAAAACAAAAACAGAATTTCCAAAAATATAATCACTGAAATTAAAACAAACAAAAAAACACCTAAATGGACTGGTTAAACAGTAGACCTAGACACAGCTATTAGTTAAATGAAGTGATGAGGAAAGTACACAGAATGAAGGACAGAGATAAAATGATGGATGGAAACATGAAATGTTAAAAGCATAAACTAGAAACACCTACCATACAGCTACCTAGTCAGATTTTCTCATCTAGAAAGAGATAATGAGGAATTTAGGAGAAAAATATTTTCAAGAGAATGGCTGACAATCTTCAAGAATGGATGAAAGACATAAAATCTTCAAGAGAAAAAAGACAAATTGACATCAAAGGAAAAACTATTAGACTGACAATCGAGTCATCTATGATAAACACAGAGGTCAGAAGACAGTGGACTAGCACAAAGTGGTGAGGGAAAATAACTGCCAACCTCAATTTTATACCCTGATCAATCATCATACACAAACAAAACCAAATAAAGACGGTTTCAGAAAATAAAAACACAATATACCATTCATAGACTGAAAAACTGCTGAGGACTATCTTTTGGGAAGAAGAAACTTGAACCCAGTAAGAAGGAGAAGGACATAAGGAAAACGGTGAGGGGAAAAAAATTAGTAAACATGGGTAGTAAATCCAAACGTATTTACTTTATAAGACAATAATAAAGACAAATTAGAGGGACACAAAACAAAGTGGATCTAACATACCAGACAACAATAACATGTAAGAAGGATGGGGCATGATTTCAATGAAAGCATCCTCTGGTCCTTGTGATTTTAAGAAAAGGGCAGAGATATCAATTTCATTTTGACTTTGGAACTCAAACATACATGTTTAAAATGTTCATCATAGCCACTGAAAGAGCTGAAGTAGAGTGGCACCTAGCAGAAGGAGAAAAGGTGAATTAAGAACTTGATTAATCTAATAGAAGGTAGGAAAAGGGGGGATGAAGCAAAGAAAATTCATGGTAAATAAAGATCACAAAATAAGATAGAAAAATATATCTATATTCACCATAAATGGAAAGAAAATAAACTCTCCAGTCGAAAGACAAATTGTCAGATTACAAAACTAAACAAAAATCCAGCTCTGTTTTAGAAGTTTTAGTGAGAAGTATATTAGATCATGGTGGTGGTTGCACAACTCTGAATATACTAACCACTGAATTATATACTCTAAATGGATGATTCACACTATGTGGATTATAGCTCAGTAAATATGCAATTTATTAAAAGCCCAAAAATCAATTAAATAGATGAAAGTCCTCACTGTGAAAAAGCTAACTTGCACAGGTTGCAGAACAAAATGTTGAGGAACATCCTTAAGGCATTGGGGTAGGGAAGAAAACAAAGGAAAAATAGAAAAAGCGCAAACTCTAAAAGGAAAAGTACTAGGTTTCATTACATTGAAATATAAATATTGGTGCGGCACCTACCATGAAAAATGTCAAGAGGCAGATTGGGAGAAGATTTTTTGCCATGTGCACAACCAACAGTGCATTATGCAGATTATAACATTTAGAAACAACATGTAAGCCATTACCAGCACAAGGGCAATGGGGTATCCTGCTGTAAGTTTCATGCACCGTAGGCGAAGTGAGATCATGTGTGTGAAGTAGGATGTTAAAAATTAAAGATGTATATTGTAAAATTTAGGGCAACCGTCAAAAAACGCAGTATAACTAATAAGTGAATGGTGAGAACCAGAATTACTGAACAAATAATCTAAAAGCAGGCAAAAAGGGGAAGGGGGCAGGTATCATCGAGTGCCTGCATCACAGAAAACTTTCAGTAAGATGGTAGATTTAAATGCACTCATATCAGTAGTTACGTTAAGTGTCTGGTGATAGGATTAATATGCAGAATATGTTTTTAAAAAACACCTATAAACCAACAAGAAACACACTCCACAACAGAAACATTGGCAAAGGATATGAAGAGGAAATTCACAGAAGCAACTGAATGTCTAGTAAGTATGAAAAGATGTTCAGCTTCCTTAATCAGGGAAAGACACATATACAGAGGGGTGCCAAAAAAAATGTATACACCTTTTAAGAAGGGAAAAAAACTATTAAAATTGTAATAATATATACCGATAACAAAAGATGAATACAAGTCACATGTATACATTTTTTTGGCACCCCCGGTAGATGCGAAGTGAAATAATGAACCACCATTTCACACCCATCATGCTGGCAAAGGTTCGAAGTCCATTATCAGTGAGTGAGTGTGAAGATGTGAGACCAGGACCCCATGCACTGCTGGTGTAGGTGTTACCAGGCACCCTCTCTCTGGTGAGTGGTTTGGTGAGCCTAGGGAAGATAGTGGCACTCCTGTCACCCAGTGTTCCGTGTCTTGGTGTCTCTCCCAGGAGACGTGTATGCAGATATTCCTGGTAGCAGGTCTGTTTTCATTCCCCTCTGAGGAATGGAAAGTAAGCTGGAGGTTACTTAGTCAGTGAAATACTATATAGCGGTTAAAATTAACGAGCCAGATAGGCTTGTTTAAGCTACGTCTCAAAAACACAACGATGAATAAATATAAATAAAAAAGCAAGCTCCGACAGGATATGGACTGAATTACATCATTCACATATAATTTTAAAATACCAAAACCAGTGGAATGTACTGTTTACTGTTGGATGGTCGGAAAAGCAGCAAGACAAGTAGGAACTGTCACCTCTGGGAAGGGAAATGGGGGGGAGCCCTGGATGATGGCACTGGCCTTACCTCTATCCCTAACTTTCCATTTTTAAAGAGAGATCTGAGCTGACAGCAACTGGGTCCTGCTCCTGTGGCTTTCACGCAATTCCACCCCTGACCTCCCTGGGGTCCCATTAGGTGAACAAATATATCCTACTATTGCCCCCCTTTTAAGTTAGCTCCAGCTGGCTTTTCATCGCTTGTAACCAGGAGGCCTGAGCCTGTACTTTCTTTTTTCATTTCATTTCCAGCTCTTGCCACCTTGTAGGTAGGTAGTCCATAAATATGCGCGTGAACCTCTCTCCAGGAAAGGGGGAGTCGCCAACTCCAAGCTCTCCCATGGCTTTTGGGATCTCTCTCGTGGTTGGAGAGAGCATTCGTTCACACAAGGGATGGGAACTGCAACTTGGGGTGCAACGAGTCAATTCCACTCGGGCCTCAGTTTCCCCCCTCCCCGCCCCCCTCAAATGACGGGTCTGGCCCCTTCAGCCCTGGCACTCTATGGTTCTCGGGATTCTGTCCTGCTCAGGTCGCAAACAACACTGGACTGGGGCATTTCACAAAAGCACCCCGCTCGCTTCCCTGGAACCCGGGCTGCACACAGAGCTGGTCACATGAACTCGTGCTTTCTTTGGTGTGACGGGTTTCTTAGATCCCTTTGTGAGCGCAGGTTTGAAAGCGAACGACCCGGGTTCTGGGTTTGAGAGGAGCAGGGGATCCGGCGGGGGGAAGGCTGTCGGAGCCAATCAAGCCGCCTCCAGACCCCACCACGTCGCCTGGGCTGCGCGCTGCTATTTCTCCGCCGCGCTCCCGCCGCCGGGTCTCGCCCTCCGGTGCCCGGGCAGACGAGGACCCCCAGGTGAGAGGCCCGGGGGTCCCGAAGGGTGGGAGGCCGGGGCGGTTCGGCCCGGGCTGCACGACGGGCTGGCCCGGGGCTCAGGGCGTGTCCGTCGCCGGCTGGCGGCTCGCTCGACACTGTTCGCTCCTACCGGCTGTAGATGGAGCTGTCTGGGTTCCTGCAGCCTCCGACGAGCCTCGGAGTGTTTCTCTTTAAACGGCCTGAGAGGGACATGCCTCCCAGGATGCAGTTTGTATCAACATGGCAGCTGCGGTGCAGCTCCCCTGCTGAAGAGGCGCCGGGACGGCAGCACAGCTCGCAGCCGGGGCCGGGGCCGGAGCCGGGGTCGC